TGACATTGACCCGCAGGCCTTAGACCAACTGGTGCAGTTTGCATACACAGCTGAGATCGTGGTGGGCGAGGGGAATGTACAGGTGAGGCATGCCATTCCCACACCCATACACTTCTGGGGTTTCCAGCCCTAGATCTGTGTAGCCTGGCCTCCCCATGCCTCTCCTCGATCTCCAGTTACTCTGTGCTCCTCTGGCCCCTCCTGCCTGACCCATCTTCGTGCCCCAGACTCTGCTCCCAGCTGCCAGCCTTCTACAGTTGAATGGTGTTCGAGATGCCTGCTGCAAGTTCCTCCTGAGCCAGCTTGACCCCTCCAACTGCTTGGGCATCCGAGGATTTGCAGACACGCATTCATGCAGTGACCTGCTCAAGGCAGCGCACAGGTACGTGCTGCAGCACTTCGTGGATGTGGCCAAGACTGAGGAGTTCATGCTGTTGCCACTGAAGCAGGTAACCACTGACGCAGGTAACATGCCAGTTTGGGCCCAGCCCATACCCTGCATTGCCCCAGCCCAGACCCTAGCAGCCAGTGTTCTGCAAGCCTTATTCTCAAGTTTCTGGTGGAAGTTTCACCCTATGATCCATTCCCTGCCCATCTCCCCACAACCCTCTCACCATCTTCTGACTCCACCCAATTATTTGCCTTAGATTCCTTTTTTTACTACACCCCAGGACCATAATTCCCCAGTCTCTGATTCTACGTACCTGAGTCTACTCAGGGCCTAGGACACCCCTCACCCCTCTACCCATCACCACCACTACTGGAACCAAAAATCTGCGAATCTTGATTCTGCTTGGTCCTCTGCTCTAAGAACATTAAGTGCGTGTGTTGTGGGTGCACATGCACATGCCCACTGTCTGATACTCTCGAACACTTTCATGGTTTTCTGGGCCCTCTCCTACCCAGATGTCAGGTCTGAGGACCTTTCACCCCTAGGTCCTGGAATTGGTCTCTAGTGATAGCCTGAACGTGCCCTCAGAGGAAGATGTCTATCGTGCAGTCCTGAGCTGGGTCAAACATGATGTAGACACTCGGAGGCAGCATGTACCAAGGGTGAGGCCAGGTCCTGAAGCTCCCATGGTGTCTAGGAGGGAATGCAGGTGGCTAAGGTGTAATCATATTTCCTTCCATCTTCCATTCAGGGGCTCCTTTGGGGTGATAATAGGCACCTGTCTCATACTAATCATACAAGTGCTATAGGCACTTGAGTGGGTCTTAGCCCTGGGACAAGTATTCCCTAGGGTCTTGCCTTACCTGGCACCTCCTGCCCTAGCTGATGAAGTGTGTACGGCTGCCTCTGCTGAGCCGAGACTTCCTATTGGGCCACGTCGATGCTGAAAGCCTTGTGAGGCATCATCCTGACTGCAAGGATCTGCTCATTGAGGCTCTTAAGTTCCACCTGCTGCCTGAGCAGAGGGGTATTCTGGGTACTAGCCGCACAAGACCCCGTCGCTGTGAGGGTGCTGGTCCTGTGCTCTTTGCCGTTGGTATGCTGAACCCCTTCTCCTTCCCATTCTTGCCCTAGGTCATCTACCCCAACTCTGAACAAACAAAATCCATTACACTTATGACCTGTGTGTGTTAAAGACCCTATTGTATGGGGTGCACCAGTGTGACCCAGTACCCCTCTCCTCCCACCCCTGGAGCCTTCATGGCTTTGCACTTGGGTTGCACTAGAGCCCCTTGCCCTGCCTTCCTGAGCCCCTTTTTTTACTCTGCCACCCACTTCCAGGTGGTGGGAGCCTGTTTGCCATCCATGGAGACTGCGAAGCGTATGACACTCGAACTGACCGCTGGCACGTGGTGGCCTCCATGTCCACACGGCGGGCCCGAGTAGGAGTCGCCGCTATTGGGAACCGACTGTATGCTGTGGGCGGGTAAGCACAGAGGCTGGACATGGGTCAAGGGTTTGTCACATGCCTGCCAGGCCATCCTTGATCAGTAGCGGGTTCTTCTCCTAGCTATGATGGAACCTCAGACCTGGCGACAGTGGAGTCCTATGACCCTGTGACAAACACATGGCAGCCCGAGGTGTCCATGGGCACAAGGCGAAGCTGCCTGGGTGTAGCTGCCCTGCATGGGCTTCTGTATGCAGCCGGCGGCTATGATGGGGCTTCCTGCCTCAACAGGTAGTAGTTTGGGTTAGGGCCCCAGTGGCCTTGAAGGGTTGGCTCAGCAGCAGCAGATGAGGCTGACTTCACTGAAGTCACATCTGACCAAGAGAGTGAGGTCCTGCCTAATCTAGGCTACCTGGTCCCCAAGGCCTCTTCACCTCAGACCACAGCATCAGTAGGGCCTTGGTATCATTCCGTTCCTTTGACTCTCTGTGTCCGTCCCTTCAAGTCCAAGCAGCCAGTAGCCTGTGCCCACCCAGCACACCTTGCTATCCATTCATAGTCTGTGATGCCCAGCACAGGATTTCAACCACAGCCTGGGTGGGGGAGGGGGGTGATGGCAGGGGGACAAGTCCTGGGAAAGGGTCACTTTGCTGTGGTTGAACATAGCATCATTCTGGTGCCCACAGTGCTGAACGGTATGACCCACTGACGGGAACGTGGACATCCATTGCTGCCATGAGCACCCGGAGACGATATGTGCGTGTGGCCACACTTGGTGGGTGACAGGACCTGCTTCCTGTGGTTCCCACTTTCCTGCCTACCCCTTCCCACTCACCCCCAAAGCCCCTACACCTGCAGGAGCTCCGTGGGTCTATTGCCTTCCCACAGATGGGAACCTGTACGCCGTGGGTGGTTATGACAGCTCATCACACCTGGCCACCGTGGAGAAGTACGAGCCCCAGGTGCATAACGCACCCCTATCCCAGTTTCCTCCTCTCAAATGCTGGGTGGCGAGGGCCATAATCCCATCTTCTGGTCACCTGTTCCATCCAAGGTTCTACTTTCTATACCCTACCCCTGACCCTCAGATACCCAGCCAAGGGTAGAGTCTGTGTTGTGGCAGGGGTGGGTGCTTTGTTGGGTCTGCCTCCAGCCTGTCCCTTTGTCTCTACAGGTGAATTCATGGACACCTGTGGCCTCCATGCTGAGCCGCCGCAGCTCTGCAGGAGTGGCAGTGCTGGAGGGTGCCCTATATGTGGCAGGGGGCAACGATGGCACAAGCTGCCTCAACTCAGTGGAGAGATATAGCACCAAGGCTGGTGCCTGGGAGAGTGTGGCACCCATGAATATCCGCAGGTGTATAAGGCCAGGGGTGGGTGGTTCTGCCACTACGTCTGGTTTATTCCAGGAGCCTTGCTCCAGGGGTGGAGTACACAGCACCTCAGCAGTGCAGCAGGTCCATGGGTTCCTCCTGGGCACCTGGGGCTCCTTTCCTAGCCCTGTCCCCGTGGTTCCTCCATTTGCACCCCACTCATTTGGTTTGTCTCTTACGACCTGCCTCTTGGGCTTACTCTTGCCTACCCAACCCCCAGGAGCACACATGACCTGGTGGCCATGGACGGATGGCTCTACGCTGTAGGGGGCAATGATGGCAGCTCCAGCCTCAACTCCATAGAGAAGTACAACCCAAGGACCAACAAGTGGGTGGCGGCATCCTGCATGTTCACAAGACGCAGCAGTGTGGGTGTGGCAGTGCTGGAGCTGCTCAACTTCCCACCGCCGTCCTCACCCACGCTGTCTGTGTCCTCCACCAGCCTCTGACACACGTCAGACTGCGCAGAGGTCCTGCAGCGTCCCACATGCCTTAAACCCTATGGGGTAGCCCTTCCACCTCTGTCTCCTCCACCAAGTGTTAGGGCAGATCACATACCCCACCAGGGATTTCCTGTTTCTCCTGTCTTGGTTTCTGTATTCACCGTCATTGTTCATTTATTTGTGTGTGCTGTTTGTTTACTCACTAATTTATTGGTTCACTATTTATTGATGGATGAGAAGTGCTGCAGCTACCAGTTCACACATTTACTCTCACGTGTCAGCTCTCCTGCATGTGGGGACCAAGAAGCCCTTTGGAGTCCTCTTTCCTGGCTCCCTTCCTGGAGCAGCAGGGAACGCTGGGGGAGGACGAACAGCATAGCTGGGCTTACAAACAGTAGGGGGCAGAGCAGCTGTCCCAACAGGAGAAGAGGCCAGGGCTTTCTAAGAAGATGCAGCCCCTGGCCGACGCTTTGCACATAGCACTTATCTGTCTCTACCAGGCACTGTTCCTGAAGGGCACAAAGCAGACATCTTCCCCGTGTCTTGTGTATACAGTGTGATGTCTTTTCTGGATCTTCTGTGGAACTGGGCACACAACATGCACTTAGATCCCACACAGCAATATGAGCCAACTTGAACAATAAACATGTTTTTTTGGGCTCCATGGGCCTGAGACTGAATGTCCATCTCTGGCCCCTTTTGTATCCTCCGCTTGTGGGCCCGCTATACACCTTTAGCTTTTGTCTGGACAGCAAGACAAAGGTCTATAGGCAAGTGTGCAGCCAGACTCAGAAGCTACATTAATGTCTGGGGCTGCACAATGGCACTTTTTCATCCAAATGGAGCAGAGACGGGTGTCTCTGTTTGTTGATAGAGACAGTCTGTTTACCCTAGTTCTGAGGCTCCTATGCCCTAGGGCTATGGGGTGCATGAGAAAGATGGACCCCTTTATCTTATCTGTCTTGAGAACCTGGGAGGCATGTGGCCCCTTTCCTGCATTTGGTTAAGCTTTAGGAACCCTGACTTGGGTCTGGGTGGGGGTTGGCCCAGGCAGGAGAGAAGCTGGGGGGAGGGTTCTGGCCTCCCTTTATATGGAGTAGCTGAAAGTGAGCACACTCCCCCTACAGTCACCAGTGACTCAGACCAGCTGGGATTCATGTGGAAACAGGATGTATATGCCCTGGCAGGGGCGGGGCAACTGAGAGGAAGGATCCCTATGCTTATAGAATTCCATCATCCAAGCACTTACAGTCTGAACACAGGTAGACGGCGTGTATACAGACCAGGCCCTCCTAGCCAGGCCTACACAGACTGTTGAGATTAGGGTCCTAGTCCAGTCAGGAAATGACTGCCCCACACCAATCTGCCTACCTAGGGCCTAGAAAGCCTGGGCCCTCATTGTAAGGTTTCCTTCAGAAAGGGCCCAACCTGAGCCCAGAGAGAAGACTCCTCCTGCCCCAGGGTAGGGGCAAGACGTCTTATGGTCACGCCCACTGGCGGGAGGTGTTAGCAGACGGGACCGAGGACTCACTCAGACCTGTCGACCTGCGCAGCCCAAGCTAGCAGCTGCCATCCATGGGGAACAGCCACTGCGTCCCTCAGACTCCCAGGAGGCTACGAGCCTCATTTTCCAGAAAGCCCTCGCTCAAGGGAAACAGGTGAGAGGTGTGGCCTGGCCTCAAGGGAACAGGGTCTCCCTGGACCTGCTACCTGCGCCAAGCCTTGAGCCTCCGGTTTCCCTTGTTCCCAGAGAGGACAGCTCCAGGAAGCTGGCCGGCCTGTTTGGCACCGAGGCTAGGCCCGATGGGGACACCGCGGCTAACAAGATCTTCCACTACATCCCCGGGACGGTGAGCGGAGGGGCGTGTCTGGCAGGAGCGGTATGGCACTGGGCCTGAAGTCTGAGTACAACTTTGTGCTTCTTCTGTATGAGTGTGTGTGCCACAGTGTGAGTGATAATGTGAGAATCGCATCTTCCAGCAACTCAGGGTCCTCCCTGGCCAGTTTGGAGGGATTCAGATACAAAACAAGATGAGGAAGTTGACACTGCCCCTCCCTGGGAAGCTCACTCAAAAGTCTAGGCTGAGAGTGAAACCAAGACGGGCACTGAGTCAGTGGTGAGCAGGCAGAGCCTGCCGGGGCTGTTGTCCATCCAGGGGCACAGGGGCCACCCTCAACCTTCCCTACCCCAACCTGGGTCTTGGTGGGCCCAACAATTGTGCGGGGGCTCCTGGTAAATATCATACTTGAGGCCTCAGTTCCCAAGGGTTACCCACCCCTAGCTGTTTCTGGTTATCTACAGCCTACAGCTACCACGTTGCCATATAGGCAGGCACCCATCCCCATACAGCAGTGAACCAGCTACCGATAGACCTCTTCCTCAGAGGGCTAACCATTCTGTGGGTCTGCTTAGAAAAGATACCTTTCCCCTCCCCTTTTCCCAACTCTCTGGCAATCCTTGGGAGGAGCCTGGGCTGCAGGTCTGACAGGAACACATCCTACTGTGCTGGTCTTGGAGAACCACACCCACCCCAGTGAGCCAGGCTCGATGTGCAGCCTCTACCAGGGCTGGAGCAAGTCTCCCATCCTGTATTCTCAGGTGCTGCAACTGATGTAAATTCCCAAAGCATACCTTTCTCACGGGCTCCCAGGAAGCTAGAAAAATTGTATCATAGCCCCTCCTGGTCCCTGAGGTTCCAGAGCTCTCTGCAAGCGTCACCTTTAGAAACCTTGCTGCCTCAAAGAGGTAGAGAGGAAGATGGAGCCTGAAGTGACCAAGGGTGGCATCCCTCCCTATGGCCACATCAAAGACCCTGACTCCCTCTAGTCAGACCCTCTTGGACAGAATTCTGGGATGGATAGTTGACCCTAGCCAGGACACAATAGCTAGAAAGGAGGTGGTAGAAGGGGAAGAAGTCCTGGCCAGGCATGGAACTACTCCTTTTGTACACTGTACCTAGGCTATGGACTCTAGGTAGATTCTGCATCTGAGTTAGAGCTGCCCCTGTCACAGCACCAAGCTAAGCCCTCCTGGGGGCAGAGTTCCAAGGCACCAGGGCCAGCTTCATAGCCCTTCCTATTCATGGCCTATTTCTCAGTGGTTTCCGCAGTGGGTGTAGATGCAGGAGGCCCCACCCAGAGTCAAGGAGGATGGAAGCTGTTTGTGTCTGTTCACATTCCTAGGCCGGCACTGGAGGTAGTTCAGCTTGGCCAGTGTGAAGCAGCCCGTGCAGGTGATCCTGGGCAGCTCCCAAAGGCAACATAAGCCCTCTCCTAAGCCTCTCTCCTGCCTCCCAGCACATCCCAGGGCATCTCCTAGGCTTTGTGGAATTAGCAGTAAACAAAATACAACGCTACTTCTGTCCTCACCTTTTTCCATTCCTATGTCAAAGTCAAACAAGAGAAGATAGAGTAAGCCAGACTAAGTCAGGTGGTGGTGGCGCACGCCTTTAATCCAGCACTTGGGAGGCAGAGGCAGGCGGATCTCTGTGAGTTCGAGGCCAGCTTGATCTACAAAGTGAGTTCCAGGACAGGATCCAAAGCTACGCAGAGAAACCCTGTCTCGAAAAACCAACCAAAAAAGAAAGAGGGAGGGAGGGAGGGAGGGAGGAAGGGAGGAAGGAAGGAAGGAAAAAAACAATAAGCCAGACTAAATCAGTATTAAATGAAAAACCCAAGGCTGAAATTTTAGGGCATTGAGAAAGAAGGTAAAACCTGAGCAAAGCCCTGCTGAAGGGAGTGGAATGAAGATTTAAGGTTGAGTAGTCACCACAGAGAATTACACATGCAAAGGTGAGACACACATGTGCCTTTTGTAATGGAAAAATGAAGGAAAGGACTGGTCCCCAAATTCAGTCCTCAGACCATTGTCAATGCTTTGCCCTCTTACTGTGAGATAGGTACTGTGTACATAGTAAGCTGGGGCATCAGCAAAGACTCACAAAAGCTGGCTAGTATCTCTTTCCAGTTCCAAGTTTACAGACCATCATGTTGACAACTCAATTTGGGCAGAATAGGGAATATTTACAGCAAAGAAACTAGCAAATACTACAAGCTAGAACTCTTGTTTGTTTGTTTGTTTGTTTGTTTTCATAGAACCAGGTAAAATAAAACATTGCCAGTTGTCACTGGACATTTGAGAAGGCTTTAAGCATTATCTCATCCTCATAATATACCTCAAACTCTTTGACAAATCCAGGGGTGTTGAATGACCAAAGTCAAGTTGCATAGCATAGGAGGTAACGAAGATAAGGATTGAACCCACTATGTACCAACCTCAGTCTGTACCACAGAGCAGATAGCTCCGACTGTGGGGAGTCATATGTATACGTGTGGTGTGTACACATTCCACTTTTCATGTGAAGAGGCTTAGGTGTGTATGGGGTATGCATGTATGTGAATGTTCTTGATGAATGTATTCTGTGACCATGCATGGACAGATCAGAACTGTATGCAGCAGCCGTGTGTATATTGCCTGGGGATCTGGCCCCATCTGGTCCCTCTCCTAAGCCCTGCTCCTCTAGGACATCCCGGGCCTGGAAAATCAGCCAGAAAATCTGGAACAGCCATTCCTGAGTGTTTTCAAAAAGGGGTGGCGGAGGACACCCGTGAGGAACCTAGGCAAAGTTGTGCACTATTCCAAGGTTCAGCTGCGGTTCCAGCACAGCCAGGTAGGAGCCACAGCGGGTTGGGGAATGCTTGGGGAGCAACTTTCATACTACCCCAGGGCTATCCCCCCACCCTCTGAGACGAGTGGCCCCGCTCTCCCCTAGGACATCAGCGACTGCTATCTAGAGCTGTTCCCCTCCCACCTGTACTTCCAAGCCCATGGTTCTGAAGGACTTACATTCCAGGTGAGTGGTATAGACAGAGGGCGGTGCTGGCTCTGTTCTTAGGAGTCCCTGCAGTCCCTCCTATACTGTCCTCTGGCAGGGGCTGCTCCCACTGACAGAACTGAGCATCTGCAGGATTGATGGGTCCAGAGAGCATGCCTTCCAGATTACAGGTGTGTGGAGAGTGCTGGCCTGGCCCCCACTGGACCAGGACCCCTGGACCTGGGAGGAGACTACCTGGGGCTTCTGGGAGCTCTAAGCTTTGTCCCTATCCCGCTTGACTCTTCTGCCCCCAGGCCCACTGCCTGCCCCGCTCCTTGTCCTCTGCCACAGTGAAGCTGAGCTCAGCCACTGGCTTTACCATCTGGAAAAGCAAATGGCTCTCTTGGGGGGTCTGCAACGCTGCCACTCAAGCCCCCCACAGGTCAGTAGCAGGAAACTGTAAGCCCTTCCCCAGTTCAGACCCTCTGGCCCTCCTGTGACTTACTCCTTCCTCCTCCCCAGAGTTCCCTAGGGGATGAACTCCCCTGGACACGGCTATGGAGAGTATCCGGGTGTGAATCCATGGGCAGCGCGATCTGTGCCTCAAGGGTCAAGCTGCAGCATCTACCCTCTCAGGTGGGTGGGAAAAGACATGAGGTGGAATGAGAGGGAAGGATACAGGAGCAGAGAAGGCTGGACTCTTGGTGTCCAACCCCACTCTATCCTTTGACCCTTTACAGGAGCAGTGGGACCGGATTCTGGTACTATACCCAGCATCCCTGGCCATCTTCTCTGAGGACCCAGATGGACTTACCTTTAAGGTTGGCACTCTCCATATATACCTGTCCCGAAAGGTGCCCTTTGTGGGGTGGGAGTGAAGACTCAGAAACCTGTATTTCAGGGCTTGTTGGGACAGAGCACAGTGCTCCACCCATCTGGCCCCACTGCCCTGGTCAATCTGGTCTCTACTCTGGCACAGAAGAGGAGTCTCCACCCTCTACAGCCCTTCTCATCCTGGAGAGATATCACTAACCCTGGAGTGGGTGGAATGGAACATGCTACTTCTTGGAATTCATGGTGCATGCTTTCCCTTGTCTCTGAGCACCTTCTGTGCATTGTGCGGTGTGTGTGTGTGTGTGTGTGTGTGTGTGGACCAAATCGTGACTGGTGTGTATTCACAGTCACTTAAAAACACACCAAGGGGACTTCCCTGACAGGTACTCATAGCTGACACAGGCTGGTGAAGAACCAACAGGAAGTAAAGTGGAGATGTCCCAGAACAAACAAAGCTGCCTAGCCTTTCTCAGAGTGGCATCCTCAGTGTTAGGTGGCCTGAGTTTCCAGCCCAGCTCTAGAGGGCAGGATGGAAGGATAGGGCCAGGAAGAGGCTGAGATGACACAGATAAATACCTGGTCCTCACGCTACAGGGGGAGCTTCCACTAAGTGCAATCCACATCAACCTAGAAGAGAAGGAAAAGGAGATCCGCTCCTTTCTCATCGAAGGTAGGGGCCTACCCAGAATCTTACCCACTGCCCGACTGGGCTTCTAGTAGGGGTGAGGATGGTAGATGCCTCAACTCTTTGCTGGGGTCTCTGTGGGGTAAGGTCCTGCCAGACCTTAGCTCACATGTCTGTGTGCTAGGCCGCCTCATCAACACCATCCGTGTGGTGTGTGCCAGTTACGAGGATTACAGTCAATGGCTGCTGTGCCTCCGGACTGTCTCGCACAGGGATGGGGCCCACCTGCTGCCTGGCCCAGAGAATTTCCCAGGACTACATGGACCCACTAAGGTGAGGGGTCAGTGAGAGGGAGAAAAAGGGTAGGTCCAAGATAAGGAGACAGATCCAGCCACTCATCTTACCTCTGCTGCTTAGGCCGTGAGTAGAGGCAGAGGTTCACTTTCTTCCAATGGACAGACCAGCTGGAAATTAGAGTGTCCAGTGCTCCCCACCAGCCAATCCCTCCCTGAATCCTCAGTGCCAACCACTATAGGCTTCCCTGCCCAGCCTGTACCTGTAAGTACCTAAAGGAATGACAGGGGATGGGGTTAAGAAAACACAGGCCCCACTGTCCCTCAGTGACCCTGGACCATAGTTCGGCAGGGAGGGCACTTGAACTGGAGGGACCTTCATACAGCTCATAGAAGAGTGTGTGGGGCCGGGCGGTGGTGGTGCACGCCTTTAATCCCAGCACTAGGGAGGCAGAGCAGGTGGATCTCTGTGATTTCGAGGCCAACCTAGTCTAGAAGAGCTAGTTCCAGGACAGGAACCAAAAAAAGCTACAGAGAAACCCTGTCTCGAAAATAAAAATTAAAAAAAAAAGAAGAAGAGTGTGTGGGAAAGAAGCCCTGGAGTTCTTTCTGGATGGTTCTTGGTATCCACAGAACCAAACCAACTCTAACTGTGTCAGCACTGGTCGAAAGAAGACAGAGCTGAGGCACAGTGGCAGTAGCCAGTCTCCCAGGGGCAAAGTTCGAAGGGAAGTATCTGGCTCAGCTGTCCCACTGCCCCTGCACCTGGACCTAACCAAGGTAAGCCCACTATGTACCCTGAACCCAGACCACTATCCCTTCTGCTTCTTCTTCCTTGCTTGTCCAGATGGACAAGACCTCATGTTCTGAAGACAGAAGTTCTTGCTGCATCTACTGAGGGAACACATGTATCTCCTTCTTGTAGGTGAGTGAGCTGTACTTAGACAGCAGCTCAGAGGCTCAGGACCACTCTTCAGATATTCCACAGTCCCCGCTCTATGCTGATCCCTACACACCACCAGCTACATCTCACCGCAAGATTATGGACCTCCAAGGCCTAGATGAGGTCAGTGCCCTACTAGGTGGATATGCTACAGTGAGATCAGGAGATGTCAGAAGCCTGAAGTCTATGAATGGGGGAGTGTTTCTGGGCAAGGGATCCCTAGGCTTCACAGTGGTCCCAGACCAGGGCTTCAGGAAACCCACATTTTCCCAGCAGTTCTTCTGTGCGATGCAGACATCTCCTGGACCTGAGCTATCAAGCCCGTTCCCCTCAGTCTCCGTGTCTGTGCCTGTCTCTGACTCCAGCTCTGGAATCTCCAGCTCTCCTAGGCCTCTGGGCTCCCATTTGCTCTCCAAGAAAGGTGCCCTGCAACCCAGAGCTTCCCAGAAACACCGGGGTTCCATCAAGAACAGAGGGCCACGGCCTTCAGACCTCCCTCAGCTTGTAAGTCACATCCTCCACTCTGGTGTGGGGGCCTCAGGATCAGGGGATGTTGGATAGAGGGTTCTAGGACTCCAAGGAGAAACCAGGGACAGAGACGGTGAGGTAGGACAGGAAGCTAGAAAGTAAGAGAAGAAAGTGGCAAGAGTCTGACCGATCAAAGAGGATGATCTGTGCTGGCTTTAAGACTTGTGTTTTGGGGCTCCCAGGTCACCCCTGCCAGAGAAAGTACACCTAGTTCCCTGCCACCTCCCCCAGGTGAGTGAGGGTCTTCTCTCCTTCAGGGAAGGGGTGCTACTTCCTAAAGGCGGATCCCTGATTTGCCTCTGACATCCCTACTAGATGAAGAGGCTCCCAACTGGAACAAGACTTCCTCTCCCTCCCCCCAGAAGTGGCCACAACTCAGGAAGACTCCAGTGGAGATGGGACTCATTCAGTGGATCTAATGAGCCCCAGGTGGGCTGCTTCTCGGAAACATAACCAGCCAACGCCAACCTGGACAAGGGTATGCAGCCATACCAGTCCTGTGACCTACATTAGATCCACCAGGGCCTCACCCCAGCAGGATAAGAGAGTCTCTAGAACACTGAGGATAGAAGCACCTCTCACCAGGCTCTAACTCATCAGCTTTAGCAGCTAGAGCAACTAAGAGAACAAACCAGTGAGGGACATCAGTGAGATCCTGGATACCCCAGGGCTTATATCTATAGGGAAGAAAGAATGAAAGTACTAGAGCAGGTCTTATAACTGGGGAACTGCATGAGTGTGAAACACAGAGCACCAGAAACGTCAGGTTGTCAAACTCATCATGTGACGTCAGAGGACACGAGGGTCAGAGGTCAGGAGGGTGAGAGCCATCACAAGGAGCAGGAGTATCTAAAGACCTAGTACTGCTGGGTGTGTAGGGTAAGGCTGGTCAGAAAGATTAACACCATAAACAAGAAAAAGACTTTATTGGTTCTGTGTCCCTGCGTTTCCCTCCGAGCAGCCAGAGTACCCCACCATCCTAAAGACCTTCGTGTGCTGTCTTCACTGTGCCACCCCAGTTCCTTCACTTACACCCCCACTCTATAACTTCTCTCAGCCTTGGCATCATTCAAGCTCCTTGTAGTATCAGAAGACAATCCTTCCATAGGATACTATCAGATTCTGTGTATATCCTATCCAGGGCTCTTGGAGAAGATCCAGCCCTGCCCCACAGATCCCATATTGCAAGGGTCTCAGAAACCATCCCCGGAGGTATCCCCTAGAACAGTGGTTCTCCACCTGTGAGTTGCAATCCCCTTGGGAACCCTCTAGCTCCAAAAATATTTACATTACAATTCATAACAGTAGCAAAATTACAGGCATGAAGTCACAACAAAAATAGTTTTATGGTTGGGGGTCACCACAGCGTGAGGAGCTGTATTAAAGGGTCACAGCAGTAGGAAAGTTAAGAACCACTGTCCTAGAACCTAGTCATTGACTCAGGCCAGGCCTAGGCAAGCTGTGGCTGCAGTGCCTCAGGGATCAGGGCCTTGGAGGACCTTGCCAGCCAAGCCTGCCTTCAATAGGGCAAAGTTCTTGGACTGCTTCCCTCTAGCTTTGAAAGCACTTAGTAGCCTCTTGGCCCAGACCCAGAGGGGCCTTTCTGATTTTACACTTATTGTAGAGTCCCCTTCTGCTGCCCATCCCTTATTTATGACTAGACAAAAGATAGGATGCCCATTTAAGTTGGATTTCAGGTAACAACAAATAATTGCTTCATACAAGTACACCTCAAGAACTTCATGTAAATTCAAATATAGCTATGTGCCCTGTGGTTTTTACTTGCATATCTGGTGCCCTATTACCCAGATCCTGGCTCAGCCCACAGTTCTGAACCTCTACCCTCTCAGGTTTGGAAAATGGCCTTGGCCTTAGCCACTGGCTGGACCCTCAGGTTGAGTCCAAGTCAGTCAGCACCAAGGACACTGGCTCCTTCCTAGATGCCAAAGAAGACAGAGTTCAAAGGTGGGGAGAAGAACAACATCTTGTCCTCGTCACCTGGGTTCATCCCAGTGCCTCACACCTCACCAGGCCAGCCTGGCTCCTAGCAGCTTGGGCTTGAGTTGGAACTGGGTCTTGGTCTGCCATTACGCCCTCTCCCAACCTGGCGGCGGAAGTAGCGGATAGCAGAGATGGTGCCAATGTTGGCCAGCAAGACTGTAAGAGAGACACAAGATATCCTGAGTGCCAGCTCTGGCTTCTTGCTACCTTCTGCCTACATAACCTAGCCTTCAAAGGACAGTATGTTGGAAGTAGGTTAGCAATGACAAAAGCAAGGTCAAAGAGAGCCTGAACCTCCCAAGTACCCTTATCCCTGCTGGCCCAGCAGATGTGGTAAACAACTATAGCCCCTAGGTCTTCTAAACATCATACCCCCTGCCCCGAGAACCTCCAAACCTGTTTTCCAAGCATCTGGAGCATGTAGATCAGAGGTTCTCACAGCCCAAGTGGCAAAGGCAACAAACACTAGGCACATGTCATTCTGGCTGAATGTAAAGGAAGTAAGGGGATTCCGTAGCTCCCCTAGGAAAGAAAAGGACATTAGATGCTCCTCTCTGAGATACGTGTGACATAAAATACCATCTGTCCTAGAAAAATGCGTTGAGTCAGATCTTCCACATGACTTCTCTTATTTAAGGCACTGGATACTATGTATCATAGTTGAATCAGAACAATTTGGGTGCTTTGCCTTTAGGGTCTTCTGTTTTCTGGTTTGTGAAATAGTTTCCAGAGGGGAGAGGAGATATTTTTCCACAGTGCCTAATACAGCCTGGCCTGAGTGGGAATGTGCCCCTATTACCTGCGCCCGTAGGAGCTGGAGGAAGGTTCCTGATGGCACCTAGGACTGAAGTGTCAAAGCCAAGCTGTCCCATCTGGACTGTGTCCTGGGGTAGCTTAGGAACTTAACCTTCCTCATGCAGATCCCAGAGCATGCAAGAGCATACATACAAACACATCCACACAGACAGGTGATCAGGATCATTCCTGCTTCTCTCCCATAGCCTCTTGGCCTAATTCCCTGGACAGTATGTTTCCAGGACCTGGATCAACACCTACCTGCTTCTCTGATTGCCAAGCTAAGATGTTCTTCCGTAGCTGGCACAGGCATGGAATATGCCTCAGGCCCTACTTCCCTGAAGAGCTCTGAGGTCTGCACTTGGACATGGGTGGCCGGTGCCTGACTGTTCCCAAATCCTTCCTCTGTAAAGAAGTGTTCATAGACCTCAGGAATGGAGATAGGCACTAAATCTCCAGGGGGAGCAGGTGCCACAGCCTCTGCCCTTGGGGGTGGGACTGGGGAGCGTCCCCTCTGACGACTTGACCTTTGGGTTCTGCTGTCCTGAAAAAAGAACTCGCATGAGTCAGGCCACTGGACGTCATCCAGGGCTTGGCTGGCTGCTGTCTCATTCTCTACATCTTCATCTTCCTCTTCAATGGTATCACAGAAAAAGAACTCATAGGCCTCAGGGAGAGTCACTGCATAGCATCTTCCAGGCTCAGGTTCTGCTGAGACAGAGGATGGAGGAGGAGGCAGGTGCTTGAGGATCCGAGGTTGGGGGAGTCGGGGCCCAACAGCCACAGCATCCCAGGCTGCAGACCCCCCACGGCTCCCTGCTGCTGTCCTAGGAGCTGAGGGCCAGTCTGGGGTTAAGAAGGGTGGGCCTGTAGGCTCAACTGATCCTGATTCTTCGTGAGTAGGTGCAGCCAAGGAGAATCGTACTTTCTTCTTCTTGGGGGCTTGGGCAGGACCTAGATGAGGCTCCCCTGAGGAATATTCTGAGGACCCTGTTGAGAGCTGCCCTACTGGCTTCTCAAAGTATCCTCCAGGAGACACAGTCACATCTGTATCCACCATGGCAGCTTCAGCCTGGGAAACAGAGGATAAGGAAGGCGTAGCAGGGATAGACAGACTCTCTTCAGACACAGTCTTTGAAACAGAATGAGGCAGATCTGTACAGACCACTGGGGCAGGCACAGAGGGATAAACTTCTGCCTTGATCTCTGAGCCTTCTGTGGATAGGTCCTCACGCAGTCCAGGTATGCAATCAGGGGCAGACTCAGTTTTGTCCGGTTGAAAGATGGAGGCAGGGGTGCACAGAGCCGTGTCAGGGGCAGAGGCAGGTGTAGACTGTTTTGTATTAGGTTGACATTTGGAGGCAAGTGTGGACAAAGTCATGTCAGGTGTGGAGACAGGTATAGACAAAACTATGTCAGATTGAGGCTTGGAAGCAGGTTTAGACAAAGCCGTGCAGGGTTGAGGCTTACAGGCATGTGTAGAGAGAGATGCATTTGGTGTGGCGATGGAGACATCTGGCTGAGGCTTGGATGTCATGTGTAGCTCAGCGCTGGGTGTCTTTCTGGTCTGGTCTGTATCTTGTTCAGTTATTAGAACAGGTGTAGATGGATCCAAGCCTGACTCTTGTCTGGCCATCTGTTCAGGGATGCTAAAGCCAAGTTTAGAAGCACCTGCAGGGTCTGACTGTGGCTTATCCTGCTGGTCTTTTGCCATTAATGTCCCAGACACAAGAACCTCCTTGGGCCTGGTCTCCGTAAGTTGTGGGGAGCTCATCTGAGCAGCAGGAGAGCCCAGAGATCCAGAGCACTTGACCCCCTTGGCACCCACGGCACGCCTCTTCTTACGACCAGGGTTCCGCAATGGAGCTTCAAGGTTGTCTGTGGGACTCTGAGGGATGGCACTGTGGCCAGGGGACTCAGGACTGTGAGAGGGCTCACCAGGAGATCTGGGAGCAGGGCCCTGCAAAAGCCTCTGCATCTTGTCCCTGGAAATTGTTGACCCAGGGAAGGACGAGGCCTGGCCAGGACAGACGCTGTCTGAGCTGAGGAACAGTAGAGCTTCTGACTGTGTGGACGTGCTGGCTACCTGATGACTGGCTTCTAGAGCCAGGACAGGCTCACCCTGAGACCTGCTGACCAGCTGCTGAGTAGCCACGTCCTCCAGTTCACAGCCCTGCTGTCCCCTCCCCTGGGGAGCCAGCTGCCCAGTGAAGAGGGGTGGGGGCCCAGGGGGGCTG